AATGGCGCTGTTATTGAAAGAGAAGTTCATAGATGCTTTAAGAAGTTTCATGATTGAGATTTTAGTCTGGCCGATAATAAATGCTCTGGCAGGTGTATTGATTTCGATCACGATCAAATCTCCACTTTACACAACAAGGGAGATTACTGAGATATTGTAAATATCGAATCCCAGCGTTATTTGATAAAGTATCCTATATTTAAAAGACTGACTGTTCTTCCTTACTGAAAATTCTGATATTAATTTCTTGGCCAATCCAATATTGGTGCACTTATTGAATATGAAGTAAATGTAATGGGTCATTATGAAATCGTTGAAGATTTAAAGTAAATCTTGTTTAGGAGGTATTAAAGCTCGATATAAAACACTTATGCTAATATAAAGCAATAAAATTTGCTCAAAATATATCATTCTTATGAAACATAAAATTTTTATCGTGCAAATAAGGTGTCCCAATACGTATATGACACATGCCGTATGGCATATATGACGCAATTATATAGGTTAAGGAATTAATATTTACCACTTAGTTACCTATTGTATCATTAACATATTAATCATTATTCGACATTTTTACTTGATGTCCTTCGTCTAGTAACTTTCTAAGCATCTAAATAGTACCATAAGGTAGGGGTAATGTTTCACAACACTGCCTTTAAAATATCTAATTGGTTTTTGATTACATAGATTTCCAATTAGTAATTAGTTGTGTTCTTCGTATACATACACTACCACTTTATTAAAAAATGTGTCAAATTTTTCCAAAGTTTTCTTCCTAATAAGAACTGTAAAGCGATTAGAATTCACGACTCATTGATTGAAAAGTCCAGAAATGAATTATAAAATGAAGTAGAACAAACCTTTCTTCGATGGATGGGCAAATACTTGTACGCGGTAGTATACGTGCTTTGCACACGCTTAAGGGATACTACCCGGGTGTTATCCTTCAATTTCCATGACCATCCAGAATTCATTATGTCTTTTGCAAATACATAGTCAAACAATTGTTCAGTTGAATTAACTATTTAGACGTCGAAAAGAAACACTTATCTGCTGTTTCTCTTCATCGTGTATTCTGTGGTTGTAAGGCAAAACGATATAAGTCACATTATCAGAAAATTTCAGTTTATATATTAATTGAATACTAGAATATAGAATCTGTGGATTTGTTTCAGAAAAAAATGGATAAAACAATTTCCTGTGTTCAAAAAAAGATTGCAGTCCGTTTGATGTCCGATATGTTTCACTCGTACGTGTTACGGAAACTAACGTAAATCCAGAAAATTTTAGTTGGAGAGATCTGTGTGGCGAAATCAGCAAATAAATTTACATTTCATATTGTAGTTTTGATAAAAAATAATACGTACGTAATTAAACATAAATAATATGTACCTTGCATATTATATTTTATAGAAACTGAAGCAGATAAGACTATGTTTCAGATTTCTATTGTAACAATAACAGCACATATTTTCTTGAACACAATATGTAATATAAAAAATAAAATAGTGTACAGAAAAGATGTAAAATCAGTTGGAAAATAATCATACGTTTCTCTGTCTTAAAATTCTATTTTAAAGTTGTTTTAGTTTATTTCTTCACTGGCATTGTCTTGATCATATTCTACGAATTTCAGGTCAGGATCACCGTTTCTTATATAGTTTGAAGTTGGTAAGCCGGTCATACATTGGTAAGAGGTAAATCAATAAATAATTCAACAAATCATTTTACTTTTCGTCTGAGGTACGCAAGAGACCTACGTAATACAGTTTTAATTTCTCATCAAGGTTTTCCCGCAGATCTTTTTGCTCCTTACATCAATTCTAAGAAAATGTCAAAATACGTAGCAGACGTTGAAAAGTCGAAAAACGATACAATATAAAAACAGCGAACGTATGAACCGATTAAGAAATCAAAGAAACATCAGTAACGAGAAGAATTAGTGTTCAAAATTCGAAACTACAATATGTCGAAAGTGCAAAAATGTGACTCACAAACCGCGTTTAAACTAGTTCTGTTCTAATACACTCCACCGTCAAAATCTCACAAAACAAAAAATGAAAAACCAACAAACTAAAAATGGATTTCTCATTGTAGTCATCAAAGTGCTATTCCCCGTAAACTGCCAACTTCGTTCGTAAAGTCGCTTTCCTATACGGTGAACCCGGGACACAAAACGCCTCCGCGGCACACGTTACGTTTGAAGAGCGAGTCTTTTCGAGTGGCTGAAGTGTGTTCAGCGCCGCGTGGCGCACACGTGGGGTAACGGGGGGCTGTAACGTGTCGCAAACAGACATAATGTTCGCCAACAAACTCGACCGTTTCAGCGAGCGAAGGCGCCGTCTGGTCGGTTCAGGCAATTCGGAACACGGTTGGACCTTTTAGCGTGATGCCTAAGGTGGGGCTCCACTGGTTGCCCCATTTCTCCGCAACCAAGTAGCCTGATTACTTGGAACGATCGCGAGTTGCGGATGGGTGGGTTGGAGAGGGGATGGTGGTGAACGTGGATTCGGCTTGGGACTAGATTCGATTCAACGGATAGACTCTGCACGCATGCACGCATCCGCGAATCCGCGTATTGATCCGACCATTCTGATCGCCTTTAACTAGCGCTACCGTCAAACTTTAAGTCGAACCGCTCCCAAGGAGTTTCGCTAAAACCATTCGAACCGAGCCGTCGTTCGGTGGCTCGATAATTGAATCCGAGATTCTTGCGGGTCGTTCTGGAATAATTAGCGTTAACTGTTACGGGTTGCCCGCCGCTTTCTGGAACACGCCACGCTGATACTAATGCTGATGACGCTCGTTTCGTACTTCAGTTCGTAATTCTGCGGCCCTCCGTTTTCCATCTTCCCTTTTTTTTTTCGCTCATTCAGTTTTCCGTACCCGCACGGAGCACGGAAGAACGTAACGGGAGGGTTATTGTATTATTGTTGTACCTTGTTTCCGATTTAATAAAGAAAGGAAACATAGTTTACGGGGATTATTTTATTTGTCGTTCTGTGTTACGTTGTTCGGTGGTATCGATTTAACTCATTAATGCGTAAACGTTTTAATGTCAGAATCAGGCTGTGGATGCTTATGCAAATATAGATTTTTGTGAATTAATTTATAGATACTTGAACTGAAAAAGTAATTGTTTACTGAGTGTTCGATCAGATTCCAAGTTTAATGAATGCTTCACTGAATTTTATTTAGTTCTAGATAATTGTAAGTGGTGCTGATGTGTAGAATCTGCAGTCTAATTATAATGTTTATTATTTCGCAGAAATAAGTAGTTCATGCTATGTAGCGTACTAATTGTTTCATTGCAAATCAATTTTTTGATTTCTTCGAATACTTCTAACGTTGTACTTCGAATCAACATGATATACTGAACACGGAATGATCCAACTGGACATCAAAAGTGGAATCAGAATAATCTGTCGATGGTCTGGTACCCTTATTTATGATTTGTCCTCTACAAAAAAAATGTTGAATGATGTTCCTTACTTTCGTTTCTCCAAATTCGGCGTGTTTTTGGTTAATTTTTTGAACCAAGTATGTTTAATAGCGAGTTTCTTGAACCTAAACTTGTTTATACGGAACCACTTCTGATCATGTTAATTAGCTTTAATTTATCAGATACTTCTCCATTCCCAAATCAATACACTATTCAGTATATAAAAGATTTCGTAACAAACTATTTGCGAATAAAATAACCCGGTGTAACCTCGTATCGTTCCTCGCTTATTTTCATTGGTTTTAGGTTGCCCTACTTGTTCTTATTTTAGCTCTTAACGAGCGCAAATATAACGAAAAAACGCACTGCATCTTTCAAGTTAATTTATGGTAGAGCTGGGTCAACTTGTCGAAGAACTACGTCCTCACTGATTTCGATGATTTTTGAATATGTTGTAGAAATCAACATTCTGAACAACTTTTCCTTTCACAAAAATTTCGGTCAGCTCTAGTTTCCAAAATATTCGTAAAGAACACAAACAATTTTACAGTGAATGTAAAATTGATTTTTAGGGTACCCACCTGCAATGATCTTGACCGTGATATATGTTGTTGAGGTCATCCTCCTAAGAACCTTCAGAAGGTTTCAGTCGCTGGTCTTGTTTGTTAAAAAATTATTAACAAAAAAAATATTTGTTCGTATATTCATGCTGGTAATAAGTAGAAACGGAATGCAATGAACAAACGTGTCTGCCAAGTCACCACCCAGTGTTAACAACACACCCAGTACAGGAAAGTGGTGGTACCAACAGTTTTTTATGAATATCTCCGAAACTAGGGCCGACTAACATTTTCATGACAGGAAGAAGTTGTTCAAAATGTTGGCTTCTACAACATATTCAAAAATCGTCGAAATCGGTGAGGAAGTAGTTTTTCATGAAGTTCACTTAGAGCTCTAATAGTATAAGCTTATAATCCTATTTATGTCCTTACATTTTATTATCCAATTCACATAAATGGAGTCAATATTAATATATAAAACTGTATTGCAGTATTCTGAACCTATGAATACAAAAAATTATCTGTCCATTGGCATCACATAAGTCTTCACGAAATTCAATTTCTCAACCCCAGAACGACATTGTACGGTATGATCATATTTTCATACATAAATCATACTTTCTAACCATTAAAAACCAGATATAGTGTTTAAGAAAGCATATCGAGCCAACCCATTTAGCATATATTTCAAAGAAATGTTTATATTTTGATAATCTTTCTGTGAATAAAATGAACATGCTGCAGTTATCTTTCATGGGGATGTCTAAAGAAGAATAGAAAAAGGATTTTATGAAAACGTTCAATAATATTTTCAATATTTAGATTTTATTTTGTAGTCGTTCACAAGTGTTACGCAAGCTAAAAAAAAAGGACAGTGTCGTTCTAGGATTAGTGACAAGTGAACACATTTGTCGAGGACACCCTCTAATTATTTTGTGCCGTATGGCACTGAACGCACGTGGCCACCAGTCATAATTTGGAAATGATGTATTCTGCAGGTGGTAGAATCGACCACGCGCATCACTACAACAACGCGTATCGAGCACTGGACGAAACACTAGCGTTAGAGGAAGCGGTGCGGGCTGTAATGAAGGAAGTCGACCTAACGGAAACGCTACTCGTCGTGACGGCAGATCACTCGCACGTGCTTACGCTTGGTGGTCTCGCAACCCACCGTGGGAATCCTATATTTGGTAAGTGACACGATAAACCACTGTCTGATGTAGCCTCTATCTTCCATCAAGGACCAAGTGAAATTGAGAGATTTAGAGCCTCCGGTGTGTTTGACGGTAATTAGCCAATGTTTTGCTCCATTACATTGATACGAAATAGTCACTTGATAATGTGTCTAAGCACGTCGAAACAATTAATTAAATATTATCCTTTTAATTAATTATTTCTTAGACTGTTAGTACTTTGGAAAAATAATACCAACAATCGTTTGACATCGATTTACCGTAAATTGTAGATCGTTAAGTTTGAACTCACATGAACGTTTAAAATATTGTAGAGAACACAATGTTACCTAAAACAAATCGTCCGTTCATTGAATTAACGTAAATATATTTGTTCCATTATAATTCAAATTTATAAGGCATTGTTTCTTGTAAAAGTAGGAAAGAATCAAGTTCTAACTATACGATTATAAGATTGTATAAAATCATTCATTAACAGCATAAAAATGTAACTTCTTCCCTTTAACGAACCAAAAATATTAATACTAAATTAGTAACAATTTGTTATTAACTACATTATTTTACACTACGTCTTCCTCTATGTAGAAAATAGTACTTTTATAATAATTGATAGAAATACCCTAGTAGCTGTTTGAATAATACAGAAATTTCATGATGTAATTTCCCATGAATTTCTATAATAATAACGTTATTCATAGAAAATATGAACTGATTGTTTCAAATTTCATAGAATCTTTTCTATTTATTATTTTCATGTCTCTCGAATAGAAGGGCAAACTAATGAAAAAAAATGTATCTTTAATCCCTAATCATAATCAAATAACATGAAGCTTATATAAAACCCGAGCAGACATTTTGTCATTTTTTTGCATAGACATAGAAATATAGACTGCGTATCTATCCTGAAAACGGGCGTACCAACTTTAGAATGAGTTGGGTTACTTTGGGAGGACTTGCTATCTCTTTCTAATATAGCCGAGTCCACCATTCAAAACGCGAATCCCCAAAATGTCACCCCCACTACTTAGATTTAAAAAGAGATGCCAAGTCCTCCAGAAGCTATCCACCTCTTTCTAAACTTAAGACGCCCATTTCAGGGAGATGCGCAGTCTATATTTCTATGTCTATATATTTATTTTACAGAACAACGCGACCTTTCGTGCCCACAAGTCACTAAGATAATACGGTTTCCGTGAAAACCGGAATTTCTACGTCTCTTTACTCCGATACGATGTAATTTCCGTGAACGATTCCGTAGGCTAGGGATCATCCTTTGAAATACAATCACGGTAAACGTAAGGATCGTGCCTGGTACGGAATAACCCGAGGTATACCGTCCAATATCGTGCCTCTTTATTAACCTCGTTACTCTTTTGATTCCCTTTTTTCCCCTGGAAAATGTAAAATGGGAGACGAGGACGAATACGTTCTTTCTTCCGTATATGTTGAACGAAACCTTGCTGATGTAATTGCAATTTTTCCGATATTTCTCTACCCCGTTTGTTCGACAAAGAAATTTCTATTTCCGCTGCATTAATACGCTGCTTGTACACTGAACATTGTCTCTCTTACCATACGCACCACAATAAAATTTTATTGTTGCACAATTTTTCAAGAACGTTTAATAATGTAATTTTCATATGCTGTGTATGCAATCGGTTGAAATTATATTTCGATCAATACAGCATTTGTCTCTCTAATGGACGTTGATGACCATCGAGGCACTGTAATTCATTCTGTTGATATCATTATTGTCGAATGATACACTTTTTACTCGACATTTTTTTCTACGTAATTATGTTAATTAAAATTTCGTTTTCTCAATCATATTCGTATGTTGCAAGTATATTAAAATAATTTGGAAACGCTGATATGAAGATCACCGTTACAGTTGACATGTTAAATTACAAAAATTGCGCGACAGTTTTAAAATGAGAAATTCTGACATTAGTTTCGCAATAATTCTTAAACTTTTGAAATACAGTATTGTTTGTCTCCCTCTGATCGTATTGTACGCAATTGGGAACGGGATTATAGAGAGCATGGGATACAATTTTATGCTTGTTTTATTCATTAACCGCTTGTTCCTATCTTGTTTCCTGTTACTATGTAATTCATTGTCATCAATGAACTCCATGGTATGATAATGTGATTATAAGGAGGTTGATATAGTGCGATTATTCCAAGGGAATGGCACATTAATACGATATTAGTCGTTAAATAATTTATGTCGGATTATTAAAACACGACATTCTATCTACACGTCTTACGTAACTTTTTACATCTAATGCGCCGCGATTTTTCCTTGTTTGAAATAGAACAGCAAAATATGCCGAAAATGCTCCCTTTGGTCGTCCATCTTTAAAATTGTGCAAAATTACAAATCAAATTCATTCTTAAAACTTTTTAGTTAAAATGTAAAAAAAATCAAAGAAGCATGAGCTTTTAAGATTTGAACTAAACGTTAGTTGTGCTTCTGGGCGCCCGAAGACCAGAATATTGCAAACATTCGTACGAACTTTTTGACCAGTCCGATAAATTTTAGTCTAAAATTTTCAATTTACGCTTTCCGTAAAAGGGTTTCTAAGCGACTGTGTAAACAGGACTGTCTTCGCTCGAAATTACATTTTTCATCAACTTTCAAGTTCCTGTTCCTCTATTTTCGAGACAACCTGTGTACACGAATGAGAATGTTGCTGTATTTTATCAGGAAACTGGGAAATGTCGAACACGGAGGAACCAAATCGTCGTTGCGTAGCATCAATGACGAACTGGATGAAATTCAATTTCCTTCGGCAATTTCACGAACCAGAACAGACCGTCTATCGTTGATTAAATTATATCGCGGGACAATGCAAGGCGCATTCCACGGGCTGTATCTTTCAGCGAGAATGCACCGCCATTCATGAATCCCGTTATGATTCAGAAGCGAAATACAGTAAAAGCTTATATCTTATTCCGCTGACGATTTCATTTGTATCCTTTTGTTCTCTCTGTTTTTTTCCTGTTTTTTTTTTTAAACCAGCTCTTATTGTGCCGTCGCACTTTCATCTCTGGGTTGTCGCTGCCTCCTTTCGTTCGGCTGATTTCATTATGAATATTTTCGCGGAGAATAAAAACGCTGGACGGTAATTCGATACACGTCGAATGAACAGGTACGTTGTATCATGGCTTCTCGTTCCTCTGCCACCCCGGTCGAAGCGACATGACCTCCGATGCTCTTGATTCGATAACATTCAATCCCGTCGGTTGATTTCGTAATCCTCGATTCGTTCGTCTCTCCGTGATTAAATTGGACTTAACAGTCCCCGTGAAAAGCCCCGTCGGTTTTTCAGATCTGAATCCGGGTCGAGTATTGAAGTGCCACGCGGCGAAAGTGATCATCCGCAATGAGTTCGCTCGCTGGCTGCAATGGCGGGCGTCATTCAGCTTGAAGCTCCTGGGCACAGTGGAGATCCCCAGATCGTTGAAATTGCTGTTCGTAATTCCATATTTTTAAAGCGTTCTAATTCGTACGAATGAAACTAACCTGGTGTTCGATTAATTTTTTGACGAACTTCTTGATTCTCTTCTCAGTCACCTTTCATTTTTAATATTACAGATTTACGGGTACTTTGATAGTGACGGTTAACAGAGAATCCTCCCGATTATCGTCTGGCTTGTTCTTATCATTATTGTCCAGGCGTTATCTGCATCATTGGGGGAACGTGGAACCTGTCAAGTGCATACCATGTTACCATTCCACTTTTGTTAACGAAGCTCGGGCTTCGGGCGAAAAAACGAATTCGCGAGGGTCTAAAGCATTTCTCCCTATATGATTATTGTCCCAGCGCGGACCCGAGTTCGGGATGATAATCGAGAGGAGTCTGTAGTAGGGTAAACTAATAAGTTTTAACCGATAGTTTTAGAGGTTTTCTGTTAACTGCTAACACTTACATGTTCTGATGGTGAGTCGAGAAAGTAATGATAGGTCTGGCGTAATACAAAGAAACAATAGGTTAACAGAGTTTTACTAATTGCAAGTACATTGTATAAAACAATTAAGATTGATTTTTCAGGAGACACTACTGTTACGCCATGGCAGCTTACTGTGTGCTAGTTCTTGTTAGGTCGTGATATGTTTACCAGTTACTAAATTACTGTTGTTTATATTATTATTAAGTTATTATTTTACATTATGTTTAAGTTATTATTTATATTATATAATGAAAAGATGTGAAGACACTGTCGATTAGATGTTGATATACGAAGAGCTCTACCGTTGACGACGCACTGGAAAAGTGTTTCTGTTCAAAACTAACGACTCATTTTGTCGATAGTCAATAATTTCATTGTAGTTAGATCTGTCAGACATAAGGAAAAATTTTTTCTGGTATATCTCTCCAGTTTTTCGCAAACTGTACAACAGAAAACGCAAGCTCATGAAGAAGATAATAAGAATTCAGCTACTCTTTATAAGCAAAGATAGCACTGATTACTTTCTGTATGATAATTTTGAGATTAAGTCTTGTTAAAGTGTTATTTTACTATCACTTACCTACATTTTCGATGTTTCATCTATCTTCTGAAGCACATACAATATACATATACACATGATCATCCACAATTATCTAGAAAAATTGCAGAAATGCTCTTTTCGAACAAATACGTCCTTTCACTCCGTCGCACTAACATCAACTGACTAATTATTTTACCGTAATGTTAACTAGAACATTAACACTGTCTAATAGTGTTTGTTCGAACTGAATTGGGCCTGGAAACTTCGTGTTAGAGCTGAATGAAGAAATATCACTGTCTAAGCAGAATTTATCCTATTACTGTCTTCTTTAGTGGCTAATGTTAATTATTGGACTGCGAACGTTCGTGCAAATATAGTATCTGACGGATTAGTTCATAATATCAGGGTTCCAGCACGTTCTGAATAGATTTTAAAAACTCAGCAACCTCCATTATACTTGTTACTGTATTAAATTTTCGACGATCTGGTATGTTATAAA